AAAAAATAAGAACTTAAATGATAATATTGTTCATAGTAAACTAAAAACAATCAGTACATAACAGATACTATACTTCTCGCCCATCGGGCGAGTTATTTTTTCTAATTTCAGATCAGAATAAGAACAGAAGAAAACCCAATATCAAGACCCTTAATCCTAATTTCTAAATAAAGTGTCTGCTCCACCCTAGGCCTGTACATTTGGGAGAATCAAACCCTCCCTTCCCCGAAATCAGATTTAATAAATTAGATGTCCCGTTTTGGTAAGGATTTCAACAATAAAGATGCACATGCGATCACATGCGATTTCTATCACCTTATTATTATTATTTAGACAATATAAATTTAAGAATTACGTTAATTTTATTTTTAGATGAAAGTAGTACTTTGTTTGACCCTTGTCCATTTGGTAAATCTATGTTACAAATGAATGGAAGGCCATTCTACTGTGGTCGTGGTGTCAATAGTCGTATTTGTCCACGGTTTACAAGATGTATAGCAGACCCTATGGATAAATTTGCTGTTTGCTGTTGGAGTAAACATCCTGAATACGGTAAGTGTACAATATAGTTGTTTGTCAATAACAATAACAACAATCTTACTTTAGATTTGTTCCTGTTTTCTTCCGTTTTTGTTTCTGTTCAACAAAAGGGAAAACCAGTAGCACGTACCTGTCAAGCTACATAGACACTGTAAACATCACATAGCCTAATTAAAATAAAAAATATCCAAAACGGCATTTACCAAAAACGTAAGCCAAAGCGAAGCCAAAGCAACTTTTTCGGGCATGACTCTCATAACTAGGTTAAAAGTTCGGGCAACCTCAGATATTTCGCCCCCTCTCGGGCGTCAACCTGGCTCCGCCAATGTGCTTTAGGCTAAGCTTACAATTAGCATGTAATGTCTTTGTTTGTTTAAAGGGACAGGGGTACCATTCTTTTTGACCAATCATACCACAATCTCAGAAACGTGATTTTTTTTAGCTTAGCCAATCACTGATAGTGTTCGTCGAAATTTGAGCCTTCAATCCATATGCATCCAGAATTATCCGCGTTTGAATGTTAATAACGACTCGTCATTTAAAGATACTCTGTGATATATAGAAAAGACACATATAGAAATAGTGAGTAAAATTCCTAGTTTGAAGTATTTTTAAAGGAACTATGCGATTTTCGTACATTTCTAGCACGTCTGAAGATTATTTTCATATATTCAAGACTCAAATCAACCTCCCAAAATGGCACACCTGTCCGATAGTTTGGAAAGTAAGATATGTTTGTGGATTTCTTTTTGATCCTCACTGCAATTAATAAAACATGAAATTTGTCACACATTAAATATTATTTAATATAATTCATTTATATAAATGTATTTTAACCATCGTAGTATCTTCCTATTATCACAATTCAATAAAGGTGGTAGTTACATAAATGTCAAATGTACAAATTGATGGATTATAAACTCGTGTTTTAATCCCATTTTTAAACAAGATTTGCAATTTCACATACAAATGTCAAATTCAAGGGTATTATTTCCTAACAAAAAACAACACATAATATTCATTATTGTATACATCTGACACATCGTATGTTTTTGGTGTAATAAAAATATCTAATAACTTCCACATTTAGTCATAATTCTTTTAAGTTTTGCTACGTAATGATTTGTTGTAGTTAATTTCCTTTCAGATGTCAAAAAATAACTGATCTGGTCCGTCATTGAGTAAATACTAGTAAAATGTGATAAAATCACAAAAGGTGGACATGGGAATACAACTCTTTAAAAAACTTTTCCTCTGATTGTCGTGTTGAAATGATGTAGGCTGCGTTATTGGAAAAGATATAAAATACAATACTTGTATTAAGCATGCACTTAGAGGAATTCTTTAATTTGACCGCTTACTGCAGGTGTTTGCTTACTGAAGTGTCAGAATTTCTAGTGATGTTTCACTTCATAACTGATAGTCTGATTTCAGACAAAGGTACACATAGATCAGATCATTTTAATGTTCATTATCATGGAATTTATACACTTTCATATAGTCTTGATGGAATACCCATTTTATCTTTCAGATTACCAAGATAAACCCTCATCAGATACATTAACTTATGATGGTATTTGTCCTCTAATACCACCACCATTTTCTATTGGTGCCTGTGTTGATCAATGTAGTAGCGATTCAGAATGTTTAGATGGTTTGAAGTGCTGCAATACTGGTTGTGGTCATATGTGTTTAGAAGCAGAAGCACCAAGACCGAAATTTGCATGTCCGATACCGACAGAATCTCCATTTGGTTTATGTGTGGACGTTTGTACGTTTGAATCCGACTGTAAGCCCCATGAACGATGTTGTAGTAATGGTTGCGGCCATGTTTGTATGTCAGCACAAGAGGTTTCACTAGCTATGACATCATTTAAAACTAAAGCGTCCATTCGACCAGGGTATTGCCCAGCCGAGAAATCCATACGTTATATTGAGTGTAGTGAAAAAGAACAATGTACCAAAGATAGTGATTGTTTTGGAATTAGAAAATGTTGTTTTAGTGAACAGTGTGGCTACATATGTTCGAATCCTAGGAAAAGTCAACTCTTTGTTGATAAATGGTTATATGAATGGAAAAATAAATGGTATCAGTGAATTTAAAGATGTGTTTCATCATGTTGACATAATTATTGATTTGTTATCATTCTTGTCAATATGCTTATACATAGGGTAATATCATTCAATATTACGGAATCTGTAAATCTATTATTGATAAACGCACGAAGCAATTAGCTTTCTGAAATTAACCACTGCTGCGTTTCGGAAACATTTTTCAAAATAACTGAACTAACTTCACCCTCATTTTATCCGCTTAATATGTTAAACGAGTCACAACGAGTTCTCAATTAAATGCGCCCCCACAAATTTACACTTCATTGTCCATGAATTTTACTCGATTTTAAATAAAGGGGAATAACCCATTTTAAAGATCAACTGAGATGAGACTTAAGAAACCGCGGTATTATATATTGTGGGGAAAGGGTTGGACACTACCCTCTATTGAGTCGAGACTTATCTAGTCGTCAATTACATTTACATCAACTGGAAAATCATCAAAACACACTATCGGAGCTCAGAGCAACAGTGTTACATACTTATATATACCTAAAACCTTTCTTCCAGTGCCTTCTGTTGGATAGAAAATGTTACCTTTCAGCCACCCTAATCTCTCCTAAAGGGATTATCAAGAGGTTTAAAAACGTATGTGGGGGTCACTGCTGGCATCGATGTCCGCCATTCCAATTGTTAACCAGAAGTCTGTGGTTCATGCAATTCAACTAAAACTATGCGTTTTATGTCGTCGTATCCCAAAGATCCTTATATATATCAATAGCAATTGCAGGAACCACAGAAAATTGATAATGACTGATAATTGGAATGGTGCAAATCGATATCCCATACACATAAAAGGTTTAAGAAACCTCTTTATAATCCCTTTAAGAATTATATAATATTCTAACTCCGGAGAATCTAGTAAACATTTAGCGATTCTACCATAAGCTATTCTGACTAAATATTGTCAAACAGGATACAATTCTAGAATTAGCTTCAGAAGTGGTAAGTGCAAATGTTATGTAAATTATCATCACACATCGCACCCATTCATTAACCTATATTTACTTTGTTACATTACCTATGTATTAACACATCAAATATACAATGTGTACAAAGTTAGTGATTCGGTAGGAAAGGGTTAAATGAATGAAGCAGCCAATTACTGTTGTTCTTTACTAGTTCTACTTCCGCAAACAAATGATAACCAAACATTGACACATTTTAACCTACTAATTTACTTTTAAAACAACTCCAGTCAAATCAACTATCAAATTTCAGAATGTTGGAATATACTTTCACTAAGGTAAAAAGCTTTCCTTAATTATACTTACGCAAGAAATCTACAGAGCACCAGATTGTGATTCTGCTCCCAGAAGCAGTTGCAATATCCAATTACGTAGGTTCTGGAGTAAAGGGCATGCGAATCGAATATTACATCTTCAAATGGCTGCATATCATAGTTAGTTCTTTGAAACGGTTTTGCAAATCATCTCCAGGTTAAGATGCACACTTCTTCATATTTAACTCAATGAAAAAGACAAAGTTCTACATTGAACACAGTTGATTACAGATAACAGTTGTTAACTGCAAAGGTTTGGTAAATCGCAAATGTTTCGTATGGGGTCCGTCTGTGATGATATAAGTAAACACATGGAACTTTAATTTTAGGCAATAATAATGCTGCTTATATGCAGAAGTTATACATTAGATTACCCATGCAATGTAAGTATTCTCGTAAATTATAATTGTGGGCATCAATAAAAATCGTTTACATTTGGAAATCGAGAAATAGTAAGGGAATGCCACTGTCATTACTGAAGTTTTCCACTCGCAGAATTCTTGCGTTGCCTGTCTTCATCAGCCCAATAAGCATCGCAGAAAAAATGATTTCATTAAAGACCATTTCATTTCATTACGATATGTAAAGTTTTCTTTTACTATCCTGGGGAATGCATTTGAATAATTTGGATTATGTATCCTGCTAGCGTATGGAGAGTTCACGTATATTTGTTTTACTGAGCCTCCTTTGTTGAGATAGAAAATAGTTAAGATTGTTATTTCCCTTGAATAAATTGTGCAATTTTAACTCAAGTTCAACGCTTCCTGGACGTTTTATTTGAAACAAAATATATCCTAATAAAGGTCATTGTTTAAAAACAAACTTGTGTTACCCTTACCACATTTCGTCTGAATCGTCTTAAATTACAGACTCATTCTAGATGGAATTACTATGTCGTTGCTACGATTTAGCCGATTGTTTTTTATGTGGTAGGCCTATCTGACAAATTCAATATAAGTTCCACAAGAAACTTGGCCGAATTTTTGTAGAATCTGCATGGATTGTATTGTCTAGATTGTATATTTATTATAAAGAAATAGGCTGATTTACCTGGTGTCCTTCAACCTATCTACTTGAAGCTGTTGAGCCCCTCTACAATAACACTATTTTGTGTGTTGTTAGCAAGGCAGGATGTGCCCACTCTTCCGAAACACATTTTCTAAACCATTTCGAGTCCTCGTGTCTACTGTCTAATACTGTTTATTGTGTTGTATAAATATTGCTCTCCACCACTGCGATATCATAAATGAATAAAGTCGTTGTAAAACTGATTATTTCTCTGTTTACAGAACTCGAAGTGCGGAATAACAGAGATTTGTTATCCTGTTGCTCTTAGATGTCGTAATGGAAATTGTTCTTACAGAGATCGATGTCTGGGTAGGTTATATCTTCTTACTTTAATTGAAAATCCCTCGAAGTAAGGATAAGTCAACTTACAGATGTACTGGTTACGCTTGATTTTCAGCGACTGCAACTCGCAACATCTGAGATAATTTGATCAATCAATCCACTACCAACCAGTTGCCAGCTTGAAGTAAAGATACAATCGGCTGCAACAGTTCCAGTAAGACACTATGAATAGACGTTTACCCCCTTGATTATTTTTGATATAGAAAGAAATAAGTTAAAGAGTCACTGCCCATATGGTAACATGTTAATAAAGGATGATGAAACACCATACCATTGTTCTGGTAATCAGCAATGTCCTGGTCAGACTTTCTGTCATGTCAACGATAATGTCTGTTGCTGGAAACAAGACAAGGGCCAGAACAAACACCAAACTCAGGTTCTGGCTAAAGGTAGGGCAATATACAAAATCCCTTTTTTCTCTTTTACTTTCACATTGCTACTTGTCCGACCAAAGGTATTTATGAATCTAATTTTGCCTGGCATACCATAGAGATTCAAAATGATATTGATTTTTAATATAAGAATACTACAGATAATACAGACCCTTATTATGAACTGAAAATCTCTCTCCTTAAACTAAATTTCTAAAGACCCTGAGCAGCTATGGTCATTTTTAAATATTAGGAGTCCACAGTCGAGATATCGTGACCAAAATCCATCTATAGATTTAAGGTTGATATAAACTAAAGATGCTTTACGTCTTACCACCTTTCACCGAGTGTTCATTCATAAGACTGATGGAAAAGAGATAAAAGTAATGAACATATATGAATGCTAAACGTTGTGTAAATCTTTGTAAATATTTAACCTACAATATGTTAGACAAGACAAATAGGTCACCCGGAAAAATATAATCAAGACAAATTATAGTATACATATTTTATATGTTATATGACGCGTAAAATACTCTCAATTTTCTTTCTGTTTTTTGCTTTTGATAGATAAACCTAATGATCCGTTACAGTTAGCGCATGGCCAGAAAGCACTAGGATCTTTCAATTCTTTGAAACTTAGCCAAAATGAGTCTTTATCAGTAAGTCAGTGAACTTTCCTGGTATCAAAACTATACAGAATCCCTCTATAATTCGATAAATCCGTGAAACTAAGTATTAATTCATTAAACTAAGTAATTATTAAAAGTGCCTAGAAACGTTTTCGTCTTATATAGAGATTCTACTCTTTAGTCATGGTACCTTATTGACCAAGTGTGAGACTTTACATGTTATGTCCATTCTAAGAGGCAGTATCCTTTAACCTTAATGTATCTGTGTGCAATTGGTATCTTTCAGCATCAAGAGAAAAGACACACATAGCCTGCCCCTTACCCAATCCATTTGCAAACTGTAATAAAGATTGTGAAGACGATACTGATTGTGGTGGTGATCAAAGATGCTGTTACAATGGCTGTGGAAAGTCATGTATCACAATAGACAGCAAACAGAATCAGAACAGAAAATCAGGAGTATGTCCAGTTGACAAACCCCCGATATTTCTTTGCAGCATGAGATTGAGATGCTATACTGATAATGACTGTGCTGGGAACTTTATCTGTTGTCACGTTTCGGGATGTGGAAGTATATGTCGAGCACCTCCACGTGGTAACACTCGCCGAACGTTCACCGATTCATCGGCACAGAGAAGCTCCGGTAATCGGAATAACTCTTTCCGAAGAAACAGGCCATTACAAATAAAACCTGTTAATACTGCACGAAATCAGCAGAATTTCAATCCTCAAAGAAAATCTACTGTCTCACAGAGAGACAATTTGCGAAATGCGCCTTCTGCAAATTTAAATTCTGACCTAGCGCAGTCGTTTCAGTTTGGTTTCAAAAGATGTGCTTGGTTCCAGGTTTTATACGGTGGCTGCTGATTAATGCTGGTGTCAATTGGGGGCGATTATTATTTTATCAATGTTCAAAGAGTGTCACAATACTAAATTGAAATATAAATATGTTTTTAAACCGTGTTGTCTTTTAATTTCCCTCTATATCTGTCCAACTTAAAGACAGTATTGTGGCAAGCATATTTGAAAATATTGCCTTGAATACAGTGCATCAAACATAGAAACAATGTTTTCAAATGTATAGTTTATCATAGAGGCATAGCTTCTATATAATATGCACCACTCCAATTACCCGACCGACGTTAAAATTAGACAGTGGTTCCTTTAATTTCAGAATAAACAACCCAAGTACTAACGATCCGAACTGCAACGAAACTCGAAATCTAAAATAATATTTTGGCAATACATTGGTTGTAGCAAATGAACGTTGCTTATGCCTATATAATGTTTTGAAACCAAATGTTTTAGCGATGCTTGGTATCAGTTTAATATGGTCGCTATAACTATAATTAAATTGTTGGTACTTCAGATCAGTTGGTCTACGTCAGGGCAAATATATATCATACCTCATACGAATACGAGTTCGTTTGCTAGTACCAATGTATTGTCAAACTGTTTCAATGACGGGATTCGTTTTTCTGTTCGGATCGTTAGTACTGAGGATTTTTTATTGACACATTCAGATCATTTGATGAGGTAATGATTTATAGAAATACACAATAAAGGACACTTTAAGTAAGTCAAGTTTTGTCCTCTATAGTTCTTAAAGGTTATTAAGAAAGTACTGACATAGAAGTGACAATACTGATGCGTATGACGTATGCCATTCATCAGGTATATCCATTATGGTGTATTATCTTCATGTGTTCATTATAACTAGTCAAAGGTGTCTAGTTAAAAAATAACATCTCCATCCCGTTTTCTACACATTTCAATCATATCAATACAATTTTTAATCAAACTTATTTTTGGAAGTTCGACCCGGATCAACTCCGTTAATGCATAGGTTTGGTCTCAAGTAAAAAACATCAATCATAGTAATAATATGTCATGGTTTGTTTTGTACTGACAACTTCTTTGACAAACCGTTTTTTTTCTTACTATACCTGATGATAATTGATGACGCAGTCCAAGATAAGCCATTTCATTGGTCAGATTAATTTCAACAACCAATAGAAAAGTTTTTCCAAACAAGATCCTGGAAATGAAATATTATAAAAAGCTTTTGAATTATTTTTGAAACAAGTTACAATATTGCTTCAAAATGATGTACCAGAAAATTTGTATTGTTTTCGTAAGTATTGAATTATACAAACGGTTTCTTACCCTACAGAGTGGTCTATAATTTTAGTATTTTATTTAGAAAATATTTAATTGTCTGTCCTGTAGTAAATCTATTGTATTTGGTAATAGTGTTAACCTATAATATTGAGCTAATTTGATAAGATTTCACTCGAAGTCATTAGCTGATTATTACTATGTTCAGATTAGTTCACCTCTTTTCTTACCCTGTGTCAAATTTCCTCACTTGCTATTTTATCCTCGGCGAGTAAAGTTAGTTTCAATCTGCAAGCTTTGGTTTAGAAGTTAATTCTATGTCCAACAGTTAGTGCTTTGTTATGCAATCCTTTTTATTACTGTAACCCTTTACAAATTTCATAAGGGTTTGTTTTGTTTACATTATAATTGTGTATATTTGTAGGTGTTATTTATATCTGGGTGTTTATGTTTATCATTAGCACCACCACACCTCAATCCAACCAACACTAATAATCCATGCGCTGTAAGTATTATTTTTCTAAATCTACCTTTTACTGCAATTGGGCGTCCTGACGATGTTGTTAAATATACAAAAGAAGATATTCTTTGTGAAACGCAATCTAATTAGATTGCAATTTTGTTTCTTTCTTTATCTAAAAGTTGCGTCTCCATTGTAATCTTAACAAGTTTCTACCACATTCTTGTTCTAACAACATTTCTTTATCTAACTTAAGCATGTTATGCAGAACCCGTTTTCTGATTGAATTGGGTGGGCTGACAGTAGTTCAACCGGAAGCTCTTTTTATTTTCTAATATGCTTTTTTCTTAAAACTGTAGTGCGTGATTAAAAATCGTGGTAACGATTCCTTCATTTGGTGTCTTTTTCATAGGTCAGAACGTGTCCACGAGGAACTGAATGTCGATTACAACAAGTTTTGTGTGTTAGACCACCATGTTATCTTCAATCTAGATGTATACAACGTAAGTTACGATTTTTTCTAAGTATTAGATGGAGATAGTTGTTTTAAACTTAGGTTCGTTGAGGACGCTATTTCATTTGAACAATTAAAATGTGATTGAATTCATTTATAAATGTATGTGAAATTTGAAGCGATTGGTGAATAATCTAATATTTGCTGTTTCAGCAAGACCTTCCATCACAACATGTCCCATTGAGAAACCAGTACTTAGTGCGAATTTAAATGATATTGTTTGTCGGTCGGATGCCAGATGTCCCAAGGGCACGTACTGTCGACAGCGAAGATATGGACGAGGTGGTTGTTGTCTGCGAGATGTTGGTCCAGGTAAAATATTTAATATTTCATACAATATTTTATACAATAGCAAACAATTTTTACTGTTGAAATAGTGTCTAATAATGCATCATTCAGAACAGAAACGAACGACTCTCATATATTCAATTCTCTTATAGAGCCATTAGAAAAGCCGGGATACTGTCGACCACCAACATTGGGATTTGGAGGCATCTGCATTTCAAGATGTAATGATGATTCTCAATGCCCGGGATTACAGAAATGTTGTAGCAATGGATGTGGAAGGACATGTCAAAATGTATTACATCAGCAAATCGAAGTTAAACCAGGCTCGTGTCCAGTTATCATAAGACGCCGTAGCGGACGTTGTGGTCGACCATGTTCATCCGATTCAGATTGTTCTGGATCACAAAAATGTTGTGAAAGTGGTGGTTGTGGAAGACTCTGCAGAAATCCTGTCAATGGTCCCGGAATATGTCCTTTTTGGAACCCCAATTGCAATTTACTCCAGTAAATTTATATTGCTTGCTATTTAGTATTTTTTAATAAAAGAATATTTTTTGTATAAATTTACCTAGTTATGGTTTAAATTCAAAAAGGTGTGTTCACTGCAATTTACTGCAAGTACAAAGCATGTACCTTATAGCTCTGAGTGTGTGTAATATTTAAGTATCAGCATTCTCAACCTTACTCTTTACCAGAAAATCTAAGAGGATCTTGAAATTTTGGTCTGAAACATGTTGGAATAGCAATGATCTTATCAGAATTTCAGACTAGTCGTGCCAATTGTAATGGTCGTTAAACAAGTTAGACGGTTTAAATATTGAACGATCATCAAGATAAGTTGTCAGTCACATTCATGACATCAGATTGTTTTGGACCATAGAAAAAAAATGAAACAGGGCTATTCTTTCGGATAAAAAAAAAATAGTCTTGTCACTGGCCAATTTGATCAAGGGAAGTAACTCAGTAATCGCTTGACAACAGAAGACAAAATAAACCCACAGACTCCCAACACGTCAATAAAACGCTATCAGTTTCTATCACAGTTTTTACTTAAACTCTCTGAAATGATATGACCCAAAATCAGAAGCGTATTTAGAGCGGGTGAGAAGGGGGGATTTGGGCCTATGGTCCTTCGTGAAAATCAAGCGCTGTAAGTACACAAAATTGATCTGAAATCCATTTGCCTTTTGGCCTCACAAAACAACAATGGCTTTATTGCTAGCATTAAAACTTGTTAATGATTTGTTAATTATTTTCATCTGTTCTTAGACCTTCGGATCCCGTTCAAACTTTTTCAAAGGCCAGTGGTCGCCAAATTAACATTTTTTATAGGTCACTGTAGGGTCAAAGTCGGGAGATGGATTTTTATGTTGAGAGGGCGATAGTAATGTGTTTTTTTTATATCAGCGGTTTGCCATAATAATTAGAGGACTATGTACCTTTAACACTGCTTAGGGATGAATGACTCTGGTTGTTGGGCGTGAGTTTTGTAGATGAACATTTATATCATAAATTGTGAAGGTGGAACATAATAATTCACGTCAACATTCGAGTAAGTCAGGCAATAGTTTTGTTTAGACGGCATCGAGAATTCAAATTTGGACAATTATTCCAATTTTAATATTTGAATTCCCTTTGCAATGATGGTTATCCCGAACACTGTATATCCATCTTATATAGATGTATATCTATGTAATTATCTGACCGATAAAACTACTGCAAAAAGTTGTAACTTTTTAAAATATACGCACAAATCTGACACATGAGCTATAAATGACAACTACGTAAAAACATACTTGCTTCATCATATGTTTGACCATAAATCATGGATGACACATTCGTGTAAAATAAACTTGTATCCAATGAATGTTAATACTGAGATTTACCATAGGACATACCATTGTATTTTCGTGGAAGTAAATCGTTATGTTGAAATCGGGTATCTATCTAACCCTGGTAAGTATTTTAATCTACTACATATTTTGCATGCCAGGCATAAAACTCCATCCAATATAAGTATTTGGTGTACATATTTGAACACAAGCATATCTTCAAAATGGTATTTTTAAATCCATGCATTGTCTGGTATTTCACAACACTAGGGTTTTCGGTCCTATAAATAAAAGACGTAACACATCATTTGATTATGTTACAAAAGCAATATATATTTCCTTTCCTTTAAATTATACGTTTATGCGATGCACGTACTTTTTCATTCATCTACCATCAACCAACATGTACAGCGCATCAGAAATATTTAAATGGATTCAAAATTGATTTAAAAGTGGTTTTCTGTCTTTTTTCTATGTTTGAGGACACATCCATATTGATATCCCGTTCAAAACTTCCTGTGATTCCTGTAATTCTCAAAAAGAAAAAAATACCTGGCCAGCCATTATTGCCAATACGATTCAGTCTAAATGTACAAAATAGATGCGAGTAAACCTCTTTCGAATATCTTTATTGCCCATAATCAGACTGTTTTCTTGAGATATCCGCACTGGTCCCTATCCAAAAACTGTCTACAACAGATGAAAATGAACCTAAATTGCCAAATATAAAAATCAATTTAGTTATCCAAATTACTAACGCGTTTCCGGTCGTATGTCTTAGCAAGTCTAACTTGTTTCTTTATAAAGATATAATCATATAAAGATAATAAGAAAATTTGGGAATTGCATACAATATAAAAGTGACATGTTTTCATTCAATGAAAATTAATCATTCCTATGTATACTTATCCTCGCTTTCAGTTGAATATTAAAACAGTTGTAGATAAATCAAACAACGTCGAAAAAAAAATTGGGTTATGCCCTGTAAACGTGAATCTTCAAGATAAAACACACCACAACATACAATTGCTGAGTTCAAGTTAAGAAGAAGGAAATGACAACACTATTTACATTGACATGAAATGACACTGTCTTTTACAATCATAAACACTCGTCAAAATTCAAACATTGATACTACTTAGAATATCTGATGCATGGATGGATAACAAGTCGTCCTCGTGGTATAAATGACATACTTTCTTTGCATTGAATTTAAGACAATTATTTGCAAATCTTAGAAGATTCTGTTAAGGTAACTTCACGCCATAGAAATAACCAGTTGCGTATGAATGCGAATAAGTATAGCGGATATCAGTTTCGTTGCATCCGGAACTCATGACCACTTTCATTATTCTCAAACATACGCAACTGGTAATAGATCTGATGTGAGGGTACAAAAATATAATCAAACGAAAAGTAATTTAGGAGAATGAAATCATTTTCAGAGAAAAGGGCCCGAGAAATCGTCGAATTTTAGATAAACTGTTTGTCTTCCAGAAAATTTCAGAAAGCGAGTTAAAACAAATCAGACTGAAATTTATATTTACTACACTATTATACTACATTAAAACTTGGTAGAATATGTCCTAGTAGTTTCTCAGACAAACATCGTGCAAGTGTCAGTGTAACTTATATAACATATTTAATATGCACAGCAATAATTATGCATAGCTTCTCTGAGTAGAATGTCTGATAACTTTCTAAGTGACAGGTTGACTTTCCCATTCATAAAGTACTGTAGACGCACACCATTGATTTGGTCTACTTATTACATGTAATAAAACCTCATACCATGACGGAATCTGTCGCCAAGGGTCACGAATATTACATTGTTAATGTTTCTACTCTCAGACTTAAATCACTAAATCATATTATGATAATGAACACGTGACTATTCTGGATATTTTAATACAGAAAAGATGAGATATGTTCTTTTGTGATAAAGCCTAGGCATTTCACACATTCTCGTGAAAGTCGCTTAATATCAAACTTTTGAGATCGATAAAATACTGAACCAATAACATCTTCGCAATGGTAAAGGTATTCTCGTCTTATACCTTGAGTCCTTGATTACAATAGCCACTGTTTTTGTATCACGGAAGTTGTGATGCAGTGATCTGATTGGATTGTACGCTAGTGGATAGAGCCAAAAAGATCCTTAAATAATAAGCAATACTGCTTACAGTCTTCATTTATAGGGCTCTTATTGACTCTATTGGGTGGCATAGAATCCAATCAAATCGTTGCATTTCTTGATTTAAAATCATTGGCTTTTGTAGGAATGGTATAAAACAAAGTTCGTAATACCTCGACCATTGCGAAGATAAAATTCTACCTATTTGGGTTCAGCATCCTACTGGCGTGTAAGGAACTTCGTTGGTAAATTAAAATAACCCATGAAAATTATATCCACTATATTACTCTTGCATGCACCACAATACCAACATAAATCATATGACATTTACTTTCATGTATATCTGTAGTTGTCAAGATTCACACGAATACACTTTACTTTTAGAACATCAAGGGTCTTTTCGTGTGATGTCTAATTTCCTATTTTTCAGTTAGTGTGGTGTTTCAGTGTAAGTGGGACTATAATTTATCCTACTCGTGGCAACCATAGAACATGTAAGGTAAGATATAGTGGTCTTTACAGATACATTTCACATGATTATTTCATTAAAAACAGGAACTCATGAAGATCTCGCCCCTCAAAGTTCGATTCATATATCAATTGAAGAAATGAATGAATCGATAATTGTATCGATAAAGAGCGGTTTTCATTGGTTAGCTTATATATATTTTTTTTTAGATATTTTGTAACTCTTGGTATCATTTTGTACTAATAATAACCTTCCTTAGGTGGTGTGAAAATGAAACAACCATGTGTGTAATGTATATATAATGACGAAAGGTGTAGCATAATGTCTTGGTCAAAGGACTTTAGTCATTACATAAACGGATGCGATGTTTTAATTTCAGACTTTAATTTGTTCTTATGGTACAGTTTGTGTACAGAAAGTACGGTACTGTTTAACGTCACCATGTATACAACCTAAACCAACATGTGAAGTTGCTGAAGTTGAAAGATCGGATTCGTGTGCTGTAATTTCTGTTTCTTATCCAGATTCTTTATCGAATTACTTTCAAAGCTGACATAATTAATATAAATTACGTAAAGGATATACTTTCAAAACTATATGAATGGTAGTCATCAGTGCTGGGTATCGCCAATCGTGCGATACGTATCGCGATACATAGTTTCACCGATATATCGTACCAGCACTACTAATTAATTATCTTGAATGAATAACTGATCATAACAGTTGTATATTTTTATGCTGCCATAATATGGTCTGTTCAATCATCCTTTAATCAGAATCTATCTGATCTGAGTGAATCATTTCCTCCAAGGAAACACTTTGAATTTCCAATCCATTACATTCACTAAGTAAATGTTGATTATGAATAGTTTTTTGTTTACAGTTATTGAATTGTCCCCAAGGCACGAAATGTAAGCAGGAAGTAAGACAATGTGTGTCACCACCTTGTCAACAACCACCACCAACATGCATCAGGGGTAAGTAAGCTTAACATTGAATAAAAACCAGTAGTTTTTTTTTATCAAGTTTATCATTTTACAAGAATCTATCATTATTAATAAAGGCAACCATTACCATATTTTGCCGTTTTTTATGATAAGAACTTACTTATTGATCAATTTTATTCATTTAAGTTTCAACACCATCGCATCCAACACTGTGTCCACCAGGTTTGAATCCTGATCTACGCATGGGAAGAACTAAAAATTGTGTTAGTGACGGGCAGTGTGGTTCTGGTTCAAAATGTTTTTCAGCAAATGTTCATGGACCGTTTATATGTTGTTCAGAAAAACCTGCACAGGCAACACTTCCCTCTCAACCACAATATAATTATCCACAGCCACATCAGCATCATATGCCAGCTTCACAACTAGCTATTCAACCTTTACAACATCCCGGTCAACATCAGAATCCACCTATTCCAAGAGTCAAGGCACAGCAACACGGCATAAATCACAAGCAGCCACCTCCAACCCATTATCAGCACGGCCCGCCAAATCAACCAATAGTACAACAACATCGTCAGCCGATGCAGCAACTGCCTAGTGGACAAGTGAGGCATCATACACTATCACAGCCACAAGCAAAACCATATGCATTTATGAATCATCATCCCAGCCAGAATTTTCATCGAAGTCGTAATATACAGCCTCCACAATATCAAACGAGGCAACAGGAATATAACATCAATCAGCCTTATCTTCAATCAGAACCTATAAACCAACCCCAATCTTATACACAACGGGAAACAGTGTCTCGTCGATATCCTGATCCGTGGAGCAGACAACAAAGAGAACCAGAAGTAGAAATTGCAAATCCTCGAACAGCAGAAATCGAAGTAAGAAGGGCCCCATCAGGTAAAGACATATGTTTAACGTTTAAATATAAGTGAATTCATATTTACAGAATGTAAATTTCACCATGACGCTTTCAATAAATACTAGATGAGTGCTTCCTCATGTGTACTATCTTGAATGATCAAGGCTAACTTTTTGACTTATCAATTATGTTGAAATACAATTCAAGACTGTTTCTGTGTAATCTATTCAAGACACCTTAGGCACTATTTGTTTATAATGCGGTAGAAGCCAACACACCATAAGCACTGTAAATGATAAACAAGGTTTATTTATTCTAATGGTATTCTTTTTAGGTTATGGCCCTCCATCATCTCAAAATTGTCCTGTGGGGCATATCCCTGATTTCCAAAGAGGACGAGAAATACCATGTATACAAGATGCACAGTGTCAGTCTGGCTCTCATTGTATGTCAGGAACTGGAAGACGATATGTTTGCTGTGCTAAAGAAACTTCCGGTCTGGTACACCAGCGTCCAGTTAAACCAATGCCGACTTACAGTACAAATCGTCAACAAATTGTAAGTTATGGAAACAGAAGACCCGCACCAAGGTTGAGTTTTCCATTACCTGCCGAAACATTACCCGTAGTGAATGATTCACCACACCGACAACACTCTACTAATCAACAATGGAAACCAGATCGAATATCTTTTAACAGTCAGTATTCACCCAAAAAACAGCCTAATTTACCTTATAGAATGCCAGGTAGTAACATGCAGCAACAACAACAACGTAAGAATTTAATTAATCCTTCACAAGTACGAATCATGTGTTTATGTTGGTCTTTATATCCCCTAATTTACGCAGTATGCTTTATATCAGTTGTGCTTTAAGATACAACAAGACTTTATGGATTAATCTGTATAATGAGGTACAACTTCTTAGTTTCTATTAGTTGATTAATGCAAATTGAAAAGAATCATAAGATCTGGAATTAAAACTTATATTACAGCTAAAAAGAAATCTGTATCTGGTCAAATGCAGGTGACTTGTCCTTCTGGTTACACAGCTAATCAAGTGAATGGTCAAAATATGGTATGTGCAAGTGGTAGTCAATGTCCAGAGGGTTCAGAATGTAAATCAACAGGACTGTTTCAAGGTTCGATTTGCTGCTCGAAATCAACTGGTAAGTAGATCTACACATTGTGATGCTACGTGGTATACCAAGTAATACTTGAACTACACAGTCTTTATAATTGTGCCGCTTTATCATTTGATATGCCCAGTACCCTGATACGTTCCCATGCATCAGCTTGGACGGGGTGTATGGGATAACATCACATAATTATGTTCGTGATAACAAGGTTTAACTAAAATAAGATTTCTGGTTTGACATTTTAGGTTTCATTGCATTTCATTTCATTATGTTTGACGGACCTAATCCGGTGCTGGGGTGGCATGATTATTGCTCGTACATTTTGATTATCGTTATTGTATCTTTCAGGAATGGGACAGAATATGGGTTATAGACCACGACGATAAACTGTTTTATACCATCCAAACTTAATACATGTACATGTTCAATTTAAACGATTTAACGGGCGTTTTTAAAGTCGAGTTTGTAAATACGGTGGTTGTACCAAATAAACAATATAAGCTATGTGGACTCTCTGAAAAGAGCAAATTGTTAATTTTTGTATGTTTTCTGTGAATAAAATTAAGGTAATTATCTTTAATTGGTGTGTTTTAAAATAAGTACGCTGGTAAATTTCGTAAAGTTGGTATTCTCTGACATCTGCAAATTACTTTCCCTGATCCGTACAGAGCAGCAATTTTACACAAGCAAAAGATTGTTGTTTAGTTTCTGACAATTAAGTCAGTAAGACGTTTACAATTTTACAAGTGAACACAAATATATTTTTATCAAATAAAAAACAATATATACAAATGAAATGGGGTAATTTTTGGCACCAATATACATAAAATTGTAAAATCTAAAAGGCAATAACCAGTCCTCTTGGTTCTACGCATGCTCGACGACATCCAAGTTGACAACATTTTCTTCTTCCACGGCACTGATTATCAGAAAAACATTGTACATCACAGCTAGTGATTCGGTTTACTCTTGGACACCTGCCTGGTTTTTGACCGGATTGGTTTCCTGAAATGAAAATTATCAAAAATTAACAATCGATGGATATGGTTAACTTAAAGGGATTGTAAAGAAGTTTTCTAAAAATTGTATGTGTATGGGGGACACTGATAGCATCAATTTGCACCATTCCAATTTTCAGACGTTTCTTGTTCCTGCAATTCCACTTTAACTAAGTGTGTCGTATAGAGCGGAGAGCCTTATGGGATAAAGCATATTTTACGATTTTACGATATAGACGTTATCAAACATTCATTTTTTGTGGAATTGAAGGAACCACAGACTTGTGATTGAAAATTGGAAAGGTGTAAATTGATGCTATCAGTGTCCCCGATAAACATGAAAAATTTAGAAAACCTCTTAACAATCCCTTAAAGTAATTTATTTCAAAATGTATGGTCACCCACTAGTCTTATAATAGACTAATCAAAAATGGAACGGACATATGGTTACTATAAAAACGGTAAAAATTCAATAAGAACTCACTTCTTCTCGAACAGCATACGCCACCAGCAAATCCAATTCCATTGGTACAGAAAAAACGTTGAGATGTTCCACATTGTCTGGATGAGAAACAGCGTCGACTTCCAAACTGTACAAAACCTCTCGGACACGAATTTCCTATTTGACCAATAGCTGAAAATAAAAGAATGAATTATATCCTAGTTGTATATGCATTTAATCAGCCCGAAAAATCTAGCCCAATCCGTTTCTCGGACGGATGGGACATCGGCACCTCCATCCGTTTAACATATCCGGGGAAGTGGAAAGACCAAGTTTGTTCGGCTAGACTCTTTTAAGGATTGGCGTCATGCAGTGTACGTTTTTTTTTAGAGATTAATCCATACAGGGTAACATAAACAAAACCCCACAAAAAATCTAATTCTCATTTATATTTTACTAGTTTAGTTTAAACGTATTGTGATTGTGATTGAAAAGAGCAATATGCGTTAGTAACTCTTAAATCTTTGGAATGCATGCTGCACCTCATCTTCACAATGTCAAGCACTACCTTTTTTGTATCACAGACGTTTGTAAAAGCAGTGATTTAATTAGATTGTACGCTAGCGAGTACATCCAATCAAAGGTATCGACAGAAATTCTGTAAACAATTAGTCATAATGATTACAATCTTTTAGTCGAGGGCTCTGATTGGTTGTATTTGGTAAAGTACAATCCAATCAAATCGCTTCATTCTCTGATACAAGAAAGGTGGCTATTGTAGTCAAGGTCTAAGACGAAGTTCGTAGTAGTTTGACATTGTGAAAATGCCTATTTCTAATTTTTCCGTACTATTTGGCCAAAGTTATGGATGAAACTTTACAAAAAATTGCATCAATTATTGTTGAAGATTATGAAGGCGAATATGAAGGTGCTGAAGGTAGGTATCTAATGCACCGTGGATGAAGTATATAATAATAATATATATATCAAAAAACAAACTTACATCTTACACATCTTGCTGGTTGTGATCCCCGATCTCTACAAACTGAACTAGGCGGGCATCGCAAATCCTGAACAATATTCAAATGAAAGTGATAGCTTTACACATTTATCAATTATCTTTAATTATTTTAAAAGCTCTTGAAAACGTTGATATATAAGAATGTATACGTCAGGGACAAATGAGACAATTTCGCTACCTGAGAGGTTTAATTCTTTATTATGTTATTACATGTGAGGTGACTGATAATATAGATCAAACGTAAGCATGTTGTTACCTGACATGTTCTCCTTTGACACGTTGGTCGTGCTTGTGGACAAGGTGCTCTAAAACAAAAGATTTGTGATCTTCTACAGACATACCCACGGGGACAGTTATTCCGGTTTGGCTGAAAAAGGCAGTATCGGATTAAACCAACCAACTATACGCAGATAATAATTCGTCGAACGCACATTCCTTTAATGCAAAGCAAAAATTGGAGACCTGCAATCACCCATTAACAGTGTGATCTTTCAATCAAGAACGACTATAGTAGAAATAACCCAATGGAATTTTCGTCTAATTTTACCTCTATTCCTTGGTTAAGTGATGCAGTCGCCCAAATCATATAGTTGATCTCTATCCGATGCGAAAACGTTTAATATGCCCAATTGCCCATGAAGTAACGACAGTTTCAACTCTTATTGTAAAGTTTTGTAGGAAAATCATATTCTGATATTGATGGCTTAAATTAGGCTTTAAATGCTAGTAAAGCAAATATTGAGACGATTAAATTTGTTTGAATTCGTTTGGTCCGTCTGGCTAAAAAGATCAAACAAGTGTTAACAAGCGCCAACAAAGCGGAATCAATGACAATCAAATATCGGTAAAAAGCACATACAAACATAAATATAATTAATACAATATTGGATTCGGTTGGTATTTAACGGTGCTTGTAATATTGTAAGAGGGTGAAAAAAAAAATACTTACTGAACATCTTCTGCGTACGCTGGTGTCCAGTCTTTGAGCACTTATCACAATCAGATTCAAAGCCTATAATAAAATGATTCTTATAAAAATGTATTCCACCTATTTTAACTAGAAACTCAATTCAAATTAAACTTCAAGAGATGTATCGGGAACACCGGTAGCAGCTATTTGCACCTTTCCAATTTTCAGTCAGACATCTGTGGTTCTTGCGTATCCACCAAAGATAAAAAGTTGTTTCTTGTTTCCAAAACGTTATTGCAACTTTTTAACTTACAAAGAGTAATAAGATTGTCTTCATTTGAATAGTGATGTATCGTCGCTGATTTGTAGAGAAACATGAACCCAATAGACAAATTACCTTTTTATTCTTCTTCAAAACATAATTAAAGTCAAATTTTACGTAGCAACTCAATCAAATTAAAATGTTTTTTTTTTATCTTAAAACGTTATGGAAAATTTGTACTTACAAGTAGTAATAAGATTGTCTTCATTTTTAATAGTGATGTATCGTCGATTTTTAAGAAAAAATGAACCCAATAGGCAAATTACCTTTTTATACTTGTAAAAATATAACAGGAAATGTAGGAAACATTTTGGCAGGCGAAGTTGACTAATGACTTGTCAATCAATCTCAATCGACTTATCACAGTCTTCTTGCACCAGGAAGAAAGAAAAAGACCTAAAGATTGTTTTTGTATTCTTGTATAACCAACCCTTTTTTCTTTTTTTTAACCCCAAAAATGATCAACTATCTATCATTAGTTAAGATAAATCATATAGTGGTTTATTATTGACACTATTATTAATCTAATTACATCAAAATGACGTATTTGAATGACGCCTTTATTACAATCACACTTTCATCAAAAGTAAACATTCCGTGAACATGTGTTTATGATATAGACGATTTGATTTTGGTTAATACGAAAAATCGCATAATTCCTTCAAAAACATATCAAACTAGAAATTTCTATCGATGTATTTTCTATATAATATGGCAGTGTCTTACGAAAAGACCAGGGGTCTTTTTAACACGGATAATTCTGGACACGCATGGACTTGAAGTCCCAAATTTCGGCGGTGAGCTCTGAATACTATTACTGAAGAAAAATACCGTTTCTGAGATTAAGGTATAATGATTTGTCAAAAACAACGGCACAGCTAACCACTAGTGTAATTATCCGTTGTCGGATACCGTTGCAGTGGCTATCGTAATACGTCCACAATTGAAATGGTCGCCCAGGAGGGTATATCCTAGGGATTACAAACAATCACACCTAGTTTCATCAATATCCATCTTGGAACTAGTTCTCTATCGTGTCCACAACGCTTTCTCGAGAACAAGGGCAATAACTCATTAATTTTTTTTAGATTGGTCTAATTTTCATTAGTGCTCGTCCTTGGGTTATTACAAACAGACACCAAGAAACCAGTTCTCTATCGTGTCCACAACCAATGTGGACAGACAGGGGCTATATACAAGAAAATGCGTATGAAAAGGTGAACAGGGGGTACCCTTTGAACCCCAATGTATTTTTATCAGCATGGTTGAGTAAATCCCTGTAACCTAGACCAACATGTTCCTTTACCAACATACAAAGTGCATTTATTGACCTCTATCAAGGGTTTTAATCGCTAATGATCAATAAAACTAGCAGCAAATGTTCCCAGAGACACACTGACAGCATTTAAGCCATTCTTAAGCGTCTCCAAAAGATGTACATGTGTATTTCAATAATTAATTTCAAAAAGTAATTTACACCCCACACAAATAGTGCATTTTTCTAAAAGAAAGGGGGGGGGGGGGGGGTGGAGTAATATATCCTACATATATTGGACGCCTGCGGCATATACCATAAATAACACACAGTATGATTTCGACCGTGGGTAGGTAAATATAAAACAGTATATTGCAAACAAGTATAGGTTTATTAGAGATCATATTTTTAAAAAAAATCCAAGCACCGAAGTTACTTACATTGTAGATTGTTGCCATCTACGTAATCCATGACAGAAAGATGAGGGCTACAAATTGGTTGAATTGTTCCTTCTTGTACAGAGTACAGGTAGTACTCATATATAGAAAAGTTTTACATTCGGATGTATTATAACAGAAATGTTTACAGACATCAGCAGAATTGGTAGGTTAAAATGCATAGCCAGTAGTAGCGGAAAATTTGGAATTACATTAAGCTTCAGTATTGACGGGAACGCTTGTGTTCTCAAACTATCCATTAGGTAAAGTTTTTACTCGATGTTACTATTGTTACATTTCGAAGGGTTGCATTTGTAACATGATGCATCAATGGGTGAAATTTTTTGGTTTAGCCCAATGTTTTTCCAATTGGCGTGGGAACTTTTACCGCTACATCCTATCCTTTTCAAATCCAGATAATAGAAATCACTGACGTTATTCATAATATTTCTCAGACCTGGTGGTACTATGCGCAAACACGTAATAAATATTATGTAGGTTTCCTAGGTTATAATGGTATTTCTACACTTTAATAATATCTTGTAGAGTGGCACTTTCATCTTTGTAAAAACTTTACTTGATTCAAATGTACTTTGATCGCATCCTCCAGTATTGCTTACGTTTATAGAGAATCCTTTCCTTGGCTGAAATTATAAAAGTAGTTATTTAACATATTTTACTATATAGAATATAGGATTTATCATATCTGAATATATTTTAAATTCTTATAAATGATAGACAACAAATTACTAGGCATTGAAATAAGTGGAATCGATGAAATCTCCATAAATTAAGTTTTAACTACAATATTGAATACTCACAGTGTTTTCTATTATACAGCATAACAGTTTGAAATCGTTCAATTGACTGCAAGTTAACACACCACCATGAAAGACCACTCTGAACATTAGTAATTGAACAGGATCTGTGATTCCAATCGCTATCAATATTATCATCTACAACACGCAATGAAGATGCATATTCATATGTTGAACTTTGTCCTGTGTTTTTACCCAATGTCAAGTTCCTCGCAGAAAGATCTAAAATTGTTTTAGGCCTGTATACGCGTAGTAAAAGGTATTTATATGTAGCCACAATGTGATCGGTTAAAAATAATGGTATTAAATACTGTGTTAGAAAACTTTTTAAATTACAATTGAGACTAAAATAGAAAGGAATTTGTATTGTAATTCTAAAGGGACAGAATCGCCATTCGTTCGACCTATTGTACCTTAGTCTCAGAAACAGGAATCTTTAGCTTAATAAGATTAAAAAATAAATAATTTTGAAATAAAAACTGTGATAATTACTTTCATCTTGGTGACCGGTTTTCACAAGTATCTCATTGTAGAATCAGGAACAGTATGAGTGTCCTCCACTTGTACATGAAAATTAGGTGATAATTCGTGTAATTTTGAATTAAAAACTTTAATTTTCACCTAAAATGAGACGCTAAAACAATATTTGCAGGTGTCACTGACTGTATACAATAAACGTTCTCCCTCATTCGGTGGTCGAGGGGACTTACATGAAAAAAACCGAACCCCGTCTGCAACTATGATTGCTCGACTGCAGTTGGAAATCGAAAAAGAGTAGACCGCAGCTGTCCAGGTAAAATTTTCCTCTTTAAACACTGCATGGCGTTGCAGAAAAGGTGTAGAAAAATACAAGGTAAAACTCTATTCGTTTCATTTTTGTTGTCCAAAATAATCTGTAGAAGAGGCTTTTATCGTGAAATAAGAGCAACTCAAGCCTACAAACTTAGTAATGAACTTTGGAACGTTTGCTTCAAATATTAGAGTTAATAAATCCTTGAATTTTAAGATATATAAAATCCCTCCAGGAAGAGAGATGATGTCACCAGGGTTATAACGTTATTTAAATCCCACTTCTCTGATGGAAGTGAGTTTTTATAAACCGTCCATGATTTAATTTTTTGTTCGGAAAGACAAAAAAAAAAAATAATAATAATAAAAAAAGGCGACGCAACTCGTACCTTCAAAGTCAGTTCATGCAGCAGCGACCAGTGCCTTAGATTATCTATTTGTTAAAATCTTGAAAATTCGGAAAACTATTAAGAGCAAAGGATTCGCCCCATACTCTAGAAACGAAAGTTTTCCGTGAGAGTGACCGAAATAAGCTTAATTCCACTCCATCTGTCATAAAACGATAAGTCTCACAGCTGGGACCGGAATTAAACCAACGTTATTATAAACATTCTATATTTGCGTGAAAGGGGTGCAACCTGTGCCTACAAACTTGGTCATTTGGTATAATTTCCGGGAAATATGGAGGTATTTTAAAGACGCGGCGAATAGCAAAGACCAAATCTTCTTCGTATCATTTTATGAGATCAAAAATCCCGACAGAACAAAGGAAGAAGTAAGAAGTTTATAAAGTCGGTTAATATAAAAATTCTAGTTCTACAACAGTGTCAAATCGAATCCTAGACGCACCAGTCTATTGATTTAGTTGTCTGGTTAACAGTAAACAAAAAGGGACATAACTCTCAATTGTTTTGTTTTCGATCAACCCCGAAATAAAATGTAAACATATTTTGGCCCAGGTTGCTTATTTATTACACTGGAAAGGATGGATTTGGAAAGCTGGAGAAGACTACAAAAGAGTCCTAAATGGTAGAGTTTCAATATACACCCATTTTTCTTATTATTTGACATACTGAATGCTAAAAATTTCAACATAAGACGGAACTAAATTGAACTGCCTGTAAGTGGCAGTGTCATCCATGACCATAACTGACATAGCATAAAGATATTTATTATTGCAGCATTATTATTAAATTTCTACCTACTAAGAGAATATTTAAATAAATCAATGCTTCATAAATCATGCTTCCGTGCACCTTACACTTAAGCGGATGAATATAACAGATTCAAAATAACACAAATTGTTAATATCATATCCTCACCCTGGCCTCTTTGGCTTTGGACAAGCTTACACATAAAATCTTTTGTGTTGTTTTCTATTATACTATACATGTTGAACACAGTCATAAGCTTCCCTTATATCCTTCAATTTATAATTACATCCATTTCAGGAGATTAGAGTTTACAATATATCAAGGTGATATGGAAAGTTTTGAAAATATTCTGGACACTGAAACAATTGATACAGCCACTATCTTGGAATGTTGCGCCACTGCTATTTATGAAAATAGTATGAAATGTTTGAAATATTTAATCGAAAGAGCCAAATGTATTAATATTGATATATTTTTAACTTTCCCAGAAATTATAGCCTTCTTATTACATTGCGCTATAGAAGTGGGCTCTATAGAAGGTTTAAAATATCTTATTTCACAGGGAGCTGATGTAAATAAACGATATTATGAATCAACATTGTTACATAAATCTGTACTTGATGGTAGAACAGATGTTACAGAATTCCTTGTTAGTCTACCTCAAATCAATAAAAATCAGGTCTCATCTAAAGGCAGGACTCCATTAATGGATGCTGCATTTTATGGTTCTGCTGACTGTTTACAAATTCTTATCGAAA